CCCTGATCCTGGGGTCACACATTTCACTATTTTAGAAGAAGCTTCCTTGCTGATCAACCCTAACACCAGAACCCCCTAACCCAGGGGCCATCAAATTCAGTTTTTGAAGAGACACCCTTGCTCATCATAATTATGAACTTACTATAGTGTTTACTTTGTTTAATTCCCAGTAGCAGAGAAGAAGATTTTCATAGAAATAATGTACTTTTACTATATAATCAAAAGAATCTCTCTTCCAACAGAACCCCTCACTGGGGCTAAAAATTCCACAATTTTGGAAGCGACAAGCTTACTCATCATGTCCATGCAATTGGTTTGTCTGCTAAATACCCAGGGATAAAGAAAAAGATTTTCAAAGAATTTAAGCTTTTTCATTATATAATCAATATGCCCACCGTAACACCAGGACCCCTTACCCAAGGGCCATGAAATTCACAATTTTGGAAAAGGCGCCCTTGCTCACCATAACTTTATACTACTACTTGATTTGTTTCCTTAAAGAATGCACTTTCACTATATAATCAATTGAGCTCCTCTCCCGCAGAACGCATCACCCTGAGGTCACAAATTTCACAATTTGAAAGAGGCACCCTTGATCATCATAACCATGCACTTAATTTAATATGCTTTATATACAGGGGGAGAGAAGATTTTTTTAGGGATTTATGCATTTTCTCTATATAATCATTAGTGACCCTTCCTAACTCCAGAATCCCTGACCCTTGGGCCATGAATTTCACAATTTTGGTAGAAGGTTCAAAGCACATTATAATCAGCCCCACTCCTAAGGCCCGGTGGGATCAGGGACCATGATATTTACAATGTTTGTTCCAATTCACTCGGAGATGTTTTGTGCCAAAATTGGTTGATATTGGTTCCTTGGTTTTAGAGAAGAAAGTGAAAGTGTTCAAACGTTAATGTAAGACGGGCGACGGACGAAAACAGATAGCAATACATGAACTAATTACAACATGAAGTAAACTCGTTATAAATGACCCCCCGCTCCAACCGAACAAGTAACCGCATAGTTACACTAACTTTTCTATCGTTCTTTTTAGAATTGATACTAAAAATATTTTAAATTGGAATCTGTGTGTGTGTGTGTGTGTGAGAGAGAGAGAGTGTGTGTGTGTGCGTGCGTGCGTGCGGGTGTGTGTGTGTGTGTGTGTGTGTGTATTACCAACTCAAAGCACAGGAAGAAAGGATATACATGTACAATTCATTCATGAGTTTAATGTTATTATTTATATTTAATATGGTAAAAACAAAAATGTTGGCAACGGAAATAATTTCTACTTATGTGTTTTTTTTTAATTCATGCATCATGTTCTTAGTTTTACTTATGTTGGAGAATGGTTTCCCTGATACAAGTATTCAGAATTTATACATATTTTTTAAAATAACAATTAAATTCAAAATAACGATTATTTCAGTAATTTGAACCAGTTTTTAAGCGATTTTGATAAAGTTGTATACCGAAATGTGCCATATTTTTATGTTGACATATGCTCATGTTTATTTATGTCTGACATCTTTAAAAAATGTTGCAACCTATAATATATTATACTTTTTTTGATTATTAATTATAATATTAAACTTTATTTGAAATCAAAGCATTTTTTCTACTTTCAACTAAAATAGTGTGATTGCGGAGGTACAGAGTGTTTCAGGTTACATTTCCCGACCTTGCAGTTTCCAAAAAAAGTTATGAAGAATTTATGAAAGGAATATTTAACAAGAATGTAAGGAACATAACAATTTAATATTATAGCTTAAATAAAGCTGGACCATTATTCTTGAAACAGAATTTTTTTTAAACCTCAGACGCATTATTCGTTTTTACGTCATTTTATTATGAATTCTAAACGGCTGCAGTGTATCTCAATCATAAACAGACTAGTGTGGGTTGTGAAGTCCCATAATGCTCGTTAAACAATCTGTTTTCTAGAAAGATGCTTCTCATCTGAGTATTTCTTTTGAAATCCTATATTCATTAGTATTGGCGATTTTCTGTTTGCATGGTACAGTTTAACAATATTAATACAGAGAGATATCTTTTACCTTCCATACCGTCCTATATTTCTTGTAATAGACAGAAAACAAATATTTTTAGCATTGGTATGGAAACACGGTCCTTAATATCTTAAATGTACATGTATGCATGTGCCTATGTAAATGTACATGTAATACATCTTTTTAAGATAAGAAGCTATTTTTTACAAAGCAGTTCATAAGGTAATAAAAATTTTTATATATATATATATATATATATATATATATATATATATATATATATATATATATATATATATATACATGTATATATATATATATATATATATCGTTAAACATAGGTAGGCGTTAAGACAGAAAGTAATTTGGCTCAATTACACGGTTTTTTTAATTATAGTGCAGAACTAATTTGAAGCATGATGGTACCATAGAATTCTTCATAATTCGGAAAGGGACGTTTTTAATTTCCTTTATCAAATATAGATTTTTTTCCCAATCATATTTATGGAGGAAGAATTTTAAAATTAAAAGAACATTTCGTTTTGAATTATATATATTGATATTTTCTATGTATTAAATATCATCTATACTGTTCATAAATCCTTCCTAGGGAGCTCCTAATTCCGTCAAAAATCATTAAAGCGGAACGAAATGCAACTTGATCTGTAACTCATCGAGATACACTCACATAACAAAAATCAGCTCAATATCTTCAAGCGTTTAGAAAAAAAGTGCGGAAAACCAAGTGGGACAGACAGACAGAGGGACAGCTATACAGACAGCTAGACAGACAGACGGACGGACAGACTCAGAGGAAACCTATAGTCCCCTTCGGTTTCACCGGTAGGGGACTAATAAAAGTAAAAATATCAAACAAAATGATAATCTCTTTTCTCAACGATAACTAAATGTCAATGGAAATGGAGACACAGGAGTTCATTCATTGACCACGCTGATAGTACCTTTGCAAAATCGACTTTTTGTTTTCTAGTATTTCCTGTAGGTGTAAAGTGATACTTTTAGAATTTTTTTCACAGAAGTGGTAACTGACCACTAGTACCCTAGCCTTAAGATTTCAGTCCCCGGGACAGAGGACTTCAATGTCCTAGAGCCCGATGTTTATTTACTTAGTATCATATAGTAGGCATAAAAACTTTAGGGTTTATCTCAAAAACTAGAGATGGTTCCATAGCCATTTTTTTCACGGAAGTGGTAACTGATCACTAGTACCCTAAACTTAAAATTTCAGACCCCGGGACAGGAGACTTCAATGTCCCCGAGCCCGATGTTTATTTTGGTATTATATGGTATTATTTTGGTATTATATGGTATTATTTGGCATAAAAACTTTAGGGGTATATCTCGGGAACTAGAGATGGTTCCATAGCCATTTTTTTCACAGAAGTGGTAACTGACCAGTAGTACCCTACCCTCAAAATTTCAGACCCCGAGATCATACATCATCATTTTTTTTTTTTTTACAGAAATGGTAACTGATTACTAGTACCCTTACCTCAAAATTTCATAACCCGAGGCAAGGAACTTCGACGTCCCCGAGCCAGATGTTTATTCTATTAGCATTATATGGTGGGCAAAAAAACTTGAGGGGTATATCTCCGGAACTAGAGATGGTACCATCATCATTTTTTCACAGAAGTGGTAAATGACCACTAGTAGCCTACCCTTAAAATTTCAGTCCCCGGTCCAGGGGACTTCGACTTCCCCGAGCCCGATTTTTACTCACATTAGAACTACATAATAGACATAGAAACTTTAGAAGTGTATCTCGGAAACTAGAGATTGTATCATCACCATTTTTTCATGGGTTGAGGCATCGAATCTTGTAATTTTTTGAGTGACTAATTCTGTAATTTTTTCTGAGTTAAATTTTGAGTAGACTCAAAGATTTGAAGGCAATCAGGTTTTCGAACGCAATTTGCAACTCAAAAATGAATTGCATTGTAGAACGCAGTTCGCAATTAAAAACTTTAATATCAGTCACGGCGTCTGAAATCTTGAGGGTAGGGTTCTAGTGGTCAATTACCACTTCTATAAAAATGGTGATGGTACCATATCTAGTTTCCGAGATACAGCCCTCAAGTTTTCATGCCTACGATGTAATACTAAGTGAATAATCATCAGGCTCGGGGACATCGAAATCCGCTGCCTCGTGGTCTAAAATTTTGAGGGTAGGGTAATAGTGGTCAGTTACCATTTTTTCATCTCTCGGAGCAGCGGTACCTGTTTGTTCACGATTTTTAATATGTGTATCGGGCACCTTTAGTGACTTGATAATTTGTTTGTCCTACACAGACTCAGTATTTTATTTAATAATAATAATACTAATAATACTAATAATAATACTTTATTTAAAGAAGGTAACCCGATTAGTGCAGGCACTATTCTTCCCCGGGGCCTTCTGTAGACAAAAATCAATATACATACATATACAGATACACACAATCAATAAATAATCATGAATTATTGCGACATTGTTTTACATATTTTTTAACTTGGTGCTTGAAAACATTGAGTGTTGGAGACATTTTTATGTATACAGGTAAATTATTCCACAACATAGCACCAGAGTGCTTTTTTACAAAAAAGTTTGAGAAAATTCTAAAATTTATGCTAATGTTAATTTGTGAGTATTTTAATTGAGTAGTTCTTCAAAGTGAAAAAAAGATTTAAAAAAAGAAGAAGGTAAAAAAAAACAAAACAAGAAATACTGCTTTTGCAAGCTAAAGAAGTATGTCCCCTCGACTCGAGCGGTGTAATATTGGAATTGAAAACGTGAGTGATCCACCTACTCTACAAGACAGATAATAATTTGCATATCCTAGCTGCAGAATCGTAGCTCTCCGGGGATATTTAACAATTAGAACAAAACCTTTAACTTTAGGCGACATTTTCTTTTTTGTCGCAAGTTCGAGTATTATTTTGATTCATCTCTTGCCTTAAATATGCAGTTGAAAGTTATTTCTCCATTATGTGATATATTCAGTTTATTTCTAAAACACAAAGCAAAACAGTGTTCTGGCTAAGGTCAAACAACTGGGTTTTTTTTTTCTTTCATTAAATACCTATCAGTACTCTCGAAGCAAACAATGTAGATTTCAACAAAGCAGATTTGGGAAATCATCTAAAACCATCTTACTTCGAATGATTTAATTTTGCTTAGGCACAGCGTTTACAGAATCTTCTACAGAACCTAGTTCATTCATTACAATACATCTGTACCTAGAAAATGTATATTTGGCATCTAGAGTGAATTTTAAAGGAAAAGACAAAAATCTAGGCTCCCTTCGATTTATCTGGATATTGGACAATTCGTACACATAGTTGTTCGATTCCTTGTCGTTTCGTTTTGGTTTAGTCTCTCCTGGTGAGTATCTCCCTATTTTTACTTCGTTTCTGTACCACGTGACAGTTGTTAAAGGATTGGCTAAAACGTCACACACCAATTCTACTTTGTCTGCTCTGTCACCAGTAAAAGAAGACATAATCTTAAAATTTCCTTCATTGAGCCTTATTTTTATTTTAACATCAGGCAAAACTGAAAAGAATTGAAAAAAAATTCTTTAGAGAGTAAGCTTCGATACTAGGGAAAAAAATCAATGAATATAATGAAAAATTATCAAGAGATGTGAGAAACTAATTGTCATTTGTGAACACTGATAAAGGTACTTTCTACTGCTAGTACTGATAATGATACTTACATTTTGCATAGAGAGTTACTGCTAGTACTGATTGTGATACTCACATTTTACATTGAGAGGTACTGCTAGTACTGATTGTGATACTCACATTTTACATAGAGAGCCATTCCTAGTACTGATTGTGATACTCACATTTTACATTGAGAGGTACTGCTAGTACTGATTGTGATACTCCCATTTTACATTGAGAGCCACTCCTAGTACTGATTGTGATACTCACATTTTACATTGAGAGGTACTGCTAGTACTGATTGTGATACTCACATTTTACATTGAGAGTTACTGCTAGTACTGATTGTGATACTCACATTTTACAGTAAGAGCTACTGCTAGTACTGATTGTGATACTCACATTTTACAGTAAGAGTTACTGCTAGTACTGATTGTGATACTCACATTTTACATTGAGAGGTACTCCTAGTACTGATTGTGATACTCACATTTTACATTGAGAGGTTCTGCTAGTACTGATTGTGATACTCACATTTTACAGTAAGAGTTACTGCTAGTACTGATTGTGATACTCACATTTTACAGTAAGAGCTACTGCTAGTACTGATTGTGATACTCACATTTTACAGTAAGAGCTACTGCTAGTTCTGATTGTGATACTTACATTTTACATTGAGAGCCAGTCCTAGTACTGATTGTGATACTCACATTTTACATTGAGAGGTACTGTTAGTACTGATTGTGATACTCACATTTTACAGTAAGAGCTACTGCTAGTACTGATTGTGATACTCACATTTTACAGTAAGAGCTACTGCTAGTACTGATTGTGATACTCACATTTTACATTGAGAGTTACTGCTAGTACTGATTGTGATATTCACATTTTACAGTAAGAGCTACTGCTAGTACTGATTGTGATACTCACATTTTACATAGAGAGTTACTGCTAGTACTGATTGTGATACTCACATTTTACATTGAGAGGTACTGCTAGTACTGATTGTGATACTCACATTTTACATTGAGAGCCACTCCTAGTACTGATTGTGATTCTCACATTTTACATTGAGAGGTACTGCTAGTACTGATTGTGATACTCACATTTTACAGTAAGAGTTACTGCTAGTACTGATTGTGATACTCCCGTTTTACATTGAGAGCCACTCCTAGTACTGATTGTGATACTCACATTTTACATTGAGAGGTTCTGCTAGTACTGATTGTGATACTCACATTTTACAGTAAGAGCTACTGCTAGTTCTGATTGTGATACTTACATTTTACATTGAGAGCCAGTCCTAGTACTGATTGTGATACTCACATTTTACATTGAGAGGTACTGTTAGTACTGATTGTGATACTCACATTTTACATTGAGAGTTACTGCTAGTACTGATTGTGATACTCACATTTTACAGTAAGAGCTACTGCTAGTACTGATTGTGATACTCACATTTTACAGTAAGAGCTACTGCTAGTACTGATTGTGATACTCACATTTTACAGTAAGAGCTACTGCTAGTACTGATTGTGATACTCACATTTTACATTGAGAGTTACTGCTAGTACTGATTGTGATATTCACATTTTACAGTAAGAGCTACTGCTAGTACTGATTGTGATACTCACATTTTACATAGAGAGTTACTGCTAGTACTGATTGTGATACTCACATTTTACATTGAGAGTTACTGCTAGTACTGATTGTGATACTCACATTTTACAGTAAGAGCTACTGCTAGTACGGATTGTGATACTCACATTTTACATTGAGAGGTACTGCTAGTACTGATTGTGATACTCACATTTTACATTGAGAGCCACTCCTAGTACTGATTGTGATACTCACATTTTACATTGAGAGGTACTGCTAGTACTGATTGTGATACTCACATTTTACATTGAGAGTTACTGCTAGTACTGATTGTGATACTCACATTTTACAGTAAGAGCTACTGCTAGTACTGATTGTGATACTCACATTTTACATTGAGAGTTATGTTGTGTACAGCAGCCTTATTTTCCTTGTAATTATTGGTTGCTCGACATTGAAACTTTGTCGCGCAGAACCTTGACACATTCTGAATTCCAAGCATGTTACCCCGTATTCCAATATCTGAATAAAACATTTGTAACGTTTTAAATACAAATTATCTGTATGTTTTTTAACACGAGTTTTATTACAATGATACGTAATTTGAGTTTGCTCCTAAAAAGAAAAGAAATCAGTCTATATATATATTTGAAATATATATTCAATTGTTATATAAGGAAATATCCCAATTTCTTAGTCGTACAGTATTATTTCTCTTGTAATTTCGCTCTAGTTATGTGTGAGATATTTCCTTTATAATAGATTTACTGATTTTAAAATCATTTGATAAACTATAAGACAATTATGCACCTTTTTTCATTCTTATGAAATCATAAATATTATGACACTTTTTGTATAATTTATGCTGGCATATCCCCCCCCCCCCCACACATGCAAGATAAATTATGTTAACATGCAACACAATTATTTAGACATGCGACTTATTTATATCAACATGCAAAATAATCATGTTGACATACAGGCTACAAATCTCTTTAGAGATTCTAATTTGAATGTTGGTAAACTTACTAACGCCATTTATAAGACATCATACAAGCAAGATGCAACAGAATTATGTTGACATGCTACGTATTTATGTTAACATGCGAGATAATTATGTAGACATGCAACTTATTTTTGTCAACATTTAACATAATTTTGTTAATATGCGAGTAAATTATGTCAATATGTGAAATATGTATGTACTATAAAATATGTATGTTGACATGCAACTTATTATCTTGGATGTTGACATAAATATCTTGCATGTTAAAATATAATTCGCATGTTGACATAAATAAGTCGCATGTTGACATAAGTTGCATGTTAACATAATTATCTTGCAACTTGACATAAATAAGCCGCATGTCTACATAACTATGTTGCATGTTAACGTAAAGAAATCGCATGTGACATAAATCTTGCATGTTAACATAAATAAGTCGCATGTCAATATAATTCTGTTGCATCTTGCTCGTACGTAGTCGGATAACGGCGTTAGTAAGTATGTTTACCAACATTCAAATTAGATTCTCTATAGAGATTAATAACTTATATTTCAACATAATTATTATGCATGCAGACAATTATTTTCCATGTTGACATACAGGTTAACATAATTTATCTTGCACGTAGGGGGCCGAAATATGCCACCATAATAATTAATGTACCTCTTAATACTTCCTCCTGTTGATTTGTTACTTCCATAGCATACCACGTGACTGTAGGTTGTGGAATTCCGGTTGCATTACACCATAAACGAGTTGTGCCATATTCTAAAACGTTCACTTTGTCCCCACTATGAATTGATATCTCAGGTTTTGCTGTTTCATTCAAAGTAGTGAAAAGGTTCCTTTAATTTTTTTTGATTGGTCGTGTTATAGAATGTGAAAATTAACTACATGCATATATCTACCTATAAATATCATCACTTTATTTTTATGACAATTATTATTTATCAAATAAATAATTTCGTTATTACTAGTATTCTTTAAATTCGACATTCTTCGACGTTAAAAAAACACTTTTTGGGAGTAAAGATACGATTAGCAAATAAATAAAAAATAAATCAAACAATAATTTTATACAAGTAATCTGAAAATATTCATATCTGTTTACAAGCTGTTACCTTTTAATTTTAGGCGATAGTCACTAATGATGGCTTGAGTTTTTCTATTTATACACCGATATCGACCCTCGTCGGAAGATTTCAGATATCTAATTGATAAACTTCGATCTGTTGAAGTGTCGTTTTTAACTCTAATCCGTGTATCTTGTGAAATCATGGTATTACCAATGAAAATCACTTCATTATCATCTTTCCTCCACAGAATCTATGTACGAAAACACGGAGTTACCATTATGAAAATACAAATGTTGTTTCTTTTTCCTAAATCTATCAATAATCTACATTTTTAGCCATGTAATGTTTGTCAATAAAGATTTACCACCCCGTTTTGTTTCTACATAAAAATTTTACATACCTCTTCTCCTTTATTTATTTCACATCGAAATGGATTCACTAAATCCGACCCAGCTTCCTTTATTCTCAGTTCATACTCTACAAAAATGACCAATTTTAAACCGCATTAATGTACTTGTAGGGAAATTTAACTAATGTATGAAATATCGACAACAGCAATAAGAATTTATTCTTGAGACCCATGGAAGTGTACTCTGTGATTCTACAGCATTCAAATAAAAATTCAACACTCAACAAGAGAGGATAATCTAAACGTATATGACAAGGATGATAAATGTGTACATAGAATTATGTATGATACAAGAGGTATGAAAATAAATACTATTGCCATCCACACTGTTTATACTAAACTTCAATTTACACCTAAATGTAGGGTAACATACCTCTGGATAACTGGGAATGATAAATGTGACAATTGAGAATAATCCAAAACGAGTATTTTAGAAATATATTCATCACTCTGTGATCCAGATTCCACAGGAACAACACAGATCTGTCGTCTTCAGTGTAAAAACGTTCTAGTGTTATTGTAGCGTAATATCATTAGATTGGAATGTAACACTTCATATTGTAATTTCCTGTTAGGTCCACACACTGAGTATAAGTGTTAACCTCTTAAAACAGGGTAGAAAGCATCTCTCTTCTTATATAAAAGACCTACATAAATCCTTTCCTCTCCAAAGATATACAAAGTCAAGCAGATATTTCCTATGGCAATCTTGAAATAAAACAAAAGGACCATGGACCTATGGTCATCTACATGTATCAAAATTCAAAAGACGAGAACTAGCTGAGTGTCATTGCAAGTTCTCTGTACTGCTCTGCTAAAGCTTATAGCTGATACATAATTTTGTACATATAGAACATTTTATTCTTCTATGTTACCAAGTTGATTATATAATCATAAGATGAATTTCTTACATTCCTTCATGTGACCTGAACCTTATCCAGATGAATTTGAATCATTGATTTGACGGCTTAATGAGTCTAAGCAAATTGTATGAAGTGTGAGCATATGATCTTTTTTCCTTTTCTTATTTACACTTATCACTAACTGAGTAACTCGAAGTAGACCCCCCCCCCCCCACCACCACCACCACCAAAAACACACACACATTTACAATTAGGGACTGACAGTGACGTTTGTGTCCCCATGTCCAATATTATGAACTGTGTGTGTGAATGTGTGTGTGTGTGTGTGTGTGTGTGTGTGTGGAGGGGGTGTAAACTTAACCTTTGGTCTTTCAATTATAAATCAATGGGGGTAATGATTTTGTAATAGACAGTATTGAAGAGAAATTCATACCATATAATTACGATTTTGTACCTTTATCTTTCGTCTTTTGGTCTCAGCATCAATAGGGGCCTTTTATAAGGCAGAGAGAATTATCAACCTAAAATTCATTGAAAAAGCTCAGAGAAAATTTGAGTTATTATCAAGAAACCATTTTATACAATATCTGAATATGCGACCTTGTCCTTTGACTTATATTGACCTCAAAATCAGCCATGGTCCTCTTTAAGTTAGGAGTATTGATATAAAATTTTATTGAAAAAGCTAGTAACATTTTAGAGATTTCATCCGAGAACTTAAGCCTACCATTCATACCATATGAGATTTTTTAACCTTAAACTTTCACCAAACGCCTAAAATCAATGATTTTTCTTTTAAGTGAATCATCACCTAAAGTTTAATTGTGAGAGCTGAAAGAGAACTAACTTTAGCTTTCATCTGGAAATCATTGTATGCAACATATGGATTTCTGACCTTGCCATCTGACCTGAAAATCAATAGGAGTCTTCTTTTCATGTATAAGGAATAAAAATTATGAAATAAAATTCCATTGCAAAAGCTAAAGGAGTTTTAGAGACTTCATGTGGAAACTATAGTGTTTCAGACGGAAGGACAGATCTAAATTAATATCCCCCACTTTTAGCAACAACAAAAAAGTCACCAACAGATTCTACTTTGTATGAATGAAAAAATTTACTCTTCAGAAAACCTAACAGAGAATTATGATCAGAACACGACTCTGTTACAGTCTTATGGAAAAGACAGACAGCCATGCCAAAAACCTATCCGTTTCCTTTATACAAGGAGACATTCTTCCAAAATGTAATAAAAAGAAATTAGAAATACGAGGGTTGTCCCAGAAAAACGCGAATTTTTTAAATATTTCATGAACTACCTGACCAAATTATTCATTTTTGGCATAATGTTGGGAAATGATACCTTTATCATTTTGGCTTAATAAAATGAGGTTCCAATGCCATATGCATTTATAAACAACATTTAAAGGGTGATAAATATCGGTGGTCGGCGCACGGCAATTTTTTGACTTTCAAAAATAGCATTTACAGCAATGCTTTCTTTAATACCAGGCTATAGAGAAATATAATGTGACAAAAAATTATATCCGTAGAAACTTTATGATCTACAGTACCCGTGTGTAAAAAAAAAATCAATACTCTGACATCATAAATAACAAAAAAATGACGTTATATGCACAAACACTATTAATTAGATATTGCCAAAAACAGCGACGTCGAGCGATAATACGGCGCACCAAAATATCACTCAGTGTTGTGTAGAGCGGGGTTTGACTCCTGTTCATACGGAAAAAGAGCTGGGAACGACACAAATACATGTATCGATCACAGGTTTATACATAGTGAAAGAGGTTCAAAGATGAATGGACTGGTTATCCGATGGAAGAAGCGCTTGGTAGACCAACAAAAATAACGACAAATTGATAAGGCTAGAGCTGGACGTCATACATGGAGACCACCGTTAAGTTTTCAAACAGTTAGGTTTATGATCGGGGTTGGGAAATTGTCTAATAAAAGAATTTATTCCTTGATTTATTCCTAACTGTAGTACGTTGGAAATGGATAACTCGATAACTAAAAGAAAATAACACGCAGTATCGATTTAAAGACGCACGATTCCTGAACAAATTCAAAAACTCCACGAGCTACGTTTTGACGTCGTCGGTGTTGCGCCGGTGTAACGACGAAAAGTGACCCCCATAGAATATTGACCGGGGATTATTTTTCTACGTAGAAATTTGTTCCCCTGGTCAATATTCTACGTAGAAAAATGACCCACTTTTTTGTAGAAATTATGGCCTTGGTGTCATTTTTCTCCATGTGGATTGTAGAAAAATGAACCTGTAGAATGACCCTGTGTCAATTTTTTGATACCAGAAAAAAACTGCATGGTTTTGGTAGGCAAATACAGGGGTTAGATCACGCAGTCTTATGATATGAAGTGTTAATTTCTAAAAGTTTTGAAGTTTAAATGACAAAATTAAAAGGTTATACTATACTTTACATTAATAATACAAGATGTTTTATCCCCATTAAAGGAAAGCCTAACAAGGCTATAATGATGTTCTATCACTGTTAGAGCAAGAATACATGGTCGTACATTCTTTGATTTGTTTTATCACATTTAATAAAATAAGTTTCCACAGTTGTAATTATTTAAAAAAATCAAGATCATTTACTTATCTGGTGTAAGAAAGAGACACATATAAATAAAAAATGCATAGCTTCCATAATTGTAATCCTCTTTGATTTTACTATGGGAAAATAATGTGCAATAAATAAAAATGTAGTCTTCCTTTTTTCTTTAGAAGTTATAAGGTTAACGTTTTGGAACCCTACCCAAATAAATTTGCGTGAAAAAAAATGGAAGATTGATAAGAAAATTCGATCTCGTAAATATCTTTGATTTTCTAAGAATAAAGTCTCAAACTTCTCATAAAAATAAAGTTGAAGATTACATATGTGAAAAATTAAAATGACACAGAACTAAATCAACCTGCCTCTGACCTTCGATATCAGGGACACAAAAAGCGATTAGCTCAAAATCTTTACCAATGTCTTCTGTCGTTTGTTAGTGTCAACAAAAATGAGGCTTTTTACATAAAAAAAAAATGATTGCTTAAAAAAAGAGGTGTTTGGTATACTAGTACCAAGAATTGACACAAGTTTGTACACGGTAGTATCGTATTTCCCCTTTCTAGTTATATGTAAAAAAAAATTACCAATAGAAAAACAGAATGTTGCATTATGAAAAAAGCTTCTCAGTCTTATTTACATAATTTTTTCCTGAGTATGATTGGCAATTTTAGCACATTTGAAGTTGCGTGTGCAAAAAAATATGGAACTGTACAAAAAATGTTATGCTAGAGTCAAGTACCATGCGAGATTCGTATAAGCGTATCTATAGTGGCGAGTTTTGAAGGGGTTACGGGGTTGTAACCCACTCTTTAAATTTACTAGTAGCCTTTAGGAAAAAATCCCTTCTGGCCATGTCTTTCCTATAAACAAATGAAGCGTTCTTGCTGTCTGAAACGAGGTTTAAAGATATTAAAGGGTTTTTAGGATAAAAGTGAAAAAAATCTTTTCCTTTCACCGAAAGTCCTCTTATAAGGATTTTATTTACATAATGTGCGTTGTAATGCAGGTTGTTTTAAATTCATTAAGATTTACAAATTTTATCTCTTTAACGTTACATGACTTGAGGTGTGCGCGACAGAGGCAACGTTTAACAATTTTTAAGCACACATTTTGCATGACTCTCTTTTTTATCGAATGGCTCTACTGCTTAATGGAATGATTGTAATTTTCCTAGAAGCATGGCTAAGGCCTGTTATAAGGTGAACATTTACTCAAATTACACTGATGGCCCAACGGTAAATCATTTAACACTACCCATTCAAAAGATATGGTTCGTAGAGTAGAACCATGCAACAAGTAAAGGTTACATGTAGGTTTTATTAGCAGTACGCATTTGAATAAAGCAGCAAACGAACATTCATATGCATTGAGAAAATATGACATACCGGGTAATGCGTAGAACAACGAAGGAGTCATGATGCAAATGCATTTTGGTTAACATTAAACGCAACTACACGATATCTGAACTGGACAAAAATTATAAAAAATATAAAATATAAGTAAACTGAATGCATGCAAGGAAAACGGATAGTGAATGTCAAACCCATATTACATACTTGATCAAATAAAAGAATAATTTATAGACCTCCTCTCAGCATGTGGATAATTTTAGATACTTTTCATAACGGTACAATAAATAATAAGTAATATCCAATTGGGATTTCAAGCTGATATATCATCTTCTTTGCATGTTAGTAAACATATAAGTATTGTTCTTCAAGCATATAAAATTCCTCTCCATTAAAAACGGAAACAAACAACGCAATGATCTAATTGTGAACTGGGAAGCAGTATTTTCTGTTGTGTGAAGTTATCGCCCGTATAATTTTTAAATTGCATTCATTTTTTGCATAAATAAACATTTCTGCTAAATCCATTTTAAAGTAAAAAGATCAAGAATAAACATTTTATAATTTAGTTTAAAATAACGATAAAAATTTTCTCTTTGTTGTAGAAAAAGTGTTCTCCCCGTTATTATTTTTTTTTTGTAAAAAACTATGAAACATATATGTATCAGGCATATATGTAATTTATTTTACAAGGCTAAAGTGTTACTGAGAGAGACGGACAAGAATATAATAAAGAGAGAGGGAGAGTGGGGAGGGAGGCAGGGAGAGAGCGAGTGGGGAGAGAGAGAGCAAGTGGGGAGAGAGAAAGAGAGAGCGTGTGGGAGTGGGGGGAAAGACAGAGAGTGAGTGAGGGGAGAGCGAGTGGGGAGAGGTGGAGAGAGAGGGAGTGGGGAGAGAGACGGAGTGGGGAAAGAGACAGAGAGCGAATGGGGAGAAAGAGGGGTGAGAGAAAGT